AGATAGACAGATAGACAGATAGATAGATAGATAGATTCCGTTTCGTTTAATGACTCTACATGTGGCAGGTATGACTCTACTCCTTATGGCATATCTATCTATCTGTCTGGCCGTCCGTCTATCTATCTATCTATCTATCTATCTATCTATCTATCTATCTATCTATCTATCTATCTACTGCAGTAGGTGGCGACAGATGAACACTGTGTTTTGTCATTGAATCATTGACTCGTTTGAAGATTCACCAAAAAAAGGACATGCAACTCTTTCTCTATTGCCACTGTGGACTCGCATAATTATTGGCTTTATTACTGTATATTTCATATTGTATATTGTACATTTAATAAATCCTATTTTTAATTTAGATTTTGAATAGAGAAATAATCCCTTTGAAAGATTGTTGAATGGTTTGTGTGACTAAAATACAAAATGTACAGCCGAGACTGTAAAATGGCATTTATGCCCTTGCAGTGAGTATGGAAAACATCAAATCAACGTAGAAAATTGTGTAACAAATATACTGACAACCCTCTCTTTATTCTCTTTCTCACTCTAGTAGCCACTGTGATTTCCTTTTAACATATTTTATTGCATAAAAACTTTTTTGTATGCATAAAAAATGGGAGGGGGAACACATTTTAGCTTTACATAAATAAATAATAGCTAATGTTGTGAGTTCTCTGTAGAATCCAGCGGTCTCGATACTTTTTGTCCACTTTGCAGAAAATCTAATTTGCTGAAATTTATTAGCACAAAGCTTCTTGATAAAGTGTGGCTCTGGGGGGCACTGCACCACAGATCGTAAAGCACCACAGAGTATTAACAATTAAGCTAAATATGTTCAGTTAGGAGTTACTAACTACAGAAGGAAACAGACCTGAGTGCAACTAGAATATCCTTCCTTTGGACAGATGTTCAAGCAGCAGAATGACTATAGAGCTGCAGTGTGTGCAGTGTCAGTCCCGCAGGGGAGACCTGAGGCTGACGGGGCTGTCGCTGTCCATGGTGCTGCTCCAGAGAGGAGCCAAGCACTGCTGTCCACACTCATAACAGTGACAACGCTCAGCCCCAATAACATAAACCTGGCCATTTCAGTCATGCTTTAGAATACTTTCTCCTTTCCTAGATTAACGTGCAAAGACAACTATGAGTAAGCCAATCTTAAGCAGAGTGTAAACGCTGTCGCTCTTCAGCACTTTAAAACATTGCTTTGTTCATTTCAGCAGTCCAGCTTGTCAACTTCTAGCAAAACAATTCAACCAATAGTGAAACAATTATTTGTGCAATTGCATTTGTGCCGTAGAAATTGCACACTTCACCTTGTTTTTTTAATCCACGTTCCTGGCCATATTATGCACAAGTCATCAATTCATGTAATCTAGCCGAGTAGGATCTTGGTTAATGTTAACCTATAGTCAAACAGCTTTTTAATTAGAAACGTGTCACATTATGGAAGTAAAATGGGTTGTGAAAGCCATTTCATGTTGATTTCAAGCGGTCTCCGTAGGAAGTCAGTGATCATTGTTGTGATGAGCTGAACTCCAGTGGAGAGGAACAAACTCCTCAGAGAGAGAGAGAGAGAGAGAGAGACATTAGAGCTGAGCTGTCTCTGAGGTGCACTGCCATTGTACATCAACAACACTGTGTTGTACTTCTCTCTTGGGTCGCTGGAAATAAATAGTTCACATAACATCTTTACATACAGTAATTCCCTCTTGCAGGAAGAATAAAATCTCAGTTAGACTTATTTTAAATGGCTTTATTTTTTAAATAGTGCGACTGTACTTATGCTGGAAACGATGCTGGGAAAACTAAGCGAATAAAAAGTTTGTTGTTGTTGTTGTTTTAAATAAATTAATACTTTTTTAAGCAAGGATGCGTTAAACTGATCAAAAGTGACAATAAAGACATTTATAATGTTACAAACTATTTCTGTTTCAAATAAATTCATGAATTCATCAAGAATCCTGAAAAATATACATCGTTTTCCAAATAAATATTACGCAGCACAACTATTTTTAACATTGACAACAATAAAAATGATACTTGAACACTAAATCGGCATTTTACAATGATTTCTGAAGGATCATGTGACACTAATGACTGAAATGATGGTTGGTAAAGCTTCAGCTTTGCCAAGAATAAATTACATTTTAAAATATATTAACATAGAACATTTGGTTTACATTGTTATAATATTTACACAATTTGTTTATGGTACTTTACAGTATTTTTATCAAATAAATGCAGCCTTGGTGAGCATAGAGGCTCCTTGCAATCTGAATTTGAACGGTAGAGTTATATATGCATCTCCTTTTGTAAAGAAAGAAGTTCATACAGGTTCAGAATGACATGAGGGTGATTCAATGATGGTGATTTATTAATTCCATCTCTTTAGGTTCTGCTCAAAATATTCAGCCTTTTGGATTGCTAGTGCTAAAACAGAAAATCTTCTCATGTGAATATTAATAAACATGGTAAATATTACCGCGCAGTCGCACATCAGGTCTAGTTTCGCCTGCTTTGAGTGTCTGGATTCTGCAGCAAGGTTGTTTTTTTTTTAAGATCAAAGGGAATGTGTTTTATCAAGCTTGACATTTACTCCAGCTTTACAAGCTCTTTTTAAGGTTTCGCATTTGAGGCTGTATCATGCTGTATCGTCTGATTCCTGCTCAGCTTGACAAATTATTCCTTGCTGATTTCACACCAGTGACTCAGTTTAACGAAACAAAAATCGACATATGACTAGTGTGTGAGAGGAAAGAATAGATAAGCTCTTATGGTTTCCGTGAGGTCTGGAAAGGACATCGTTGTGTTTTGAATGCTTATGTTTGATGCAGTGAAGAGGAGCAGATGAACAAGACCGGCGTCTGAGAGCTGTTCAAGAGGGATTACGAGCCCCTACTTCCTGATAAACCATTTTATCTGTGCCATCCCAGCGGAGGCCACGTTATTACACTTTCTCAGGGTGTCTACTAACATGTAAACTCCTCATAAACCCATGTAGTAAAGCCGTTTACTGGCCTTCATCACAGTGATGGATATCGTAAGGTACATGGCAATAAAACTAGCTATTCAAAATGACAACAATAATAATCAGTGACATAAAAACTAGAGCTTGTCTTTTATTATTTGCATTTGTGTGAAAGTTTGATGGTCGCTCTATATGGCTGCTCAAATGAGCTGTTAGATACATTCAGGGGATTTATTGTCCAACGCTTTAAACCTGGAGTGGAAAGGATTCATTCCGTTGTGGCTAACATAATCCAATTTTCTGGATTATAACATTAATATAAATCAACACTTGCAGTCTGCATAATAATCACATATGAAACATCATGATATCCTTCAGGGGGTAAAATGGAAATTTTAGATGCTTGTTGAGTTAATATTTTGAACAAACCCTTAACCCTAAATATAACTCGTTCATGC